TGTTTCTTTGGGCGGATTGGTCGAGTGGTTAACACCCCGGCCTTCTACGCTGCCGGCCGAGGTTCGATCCCCGAAGTCGTCGTACGCATGGATAATCAGAGAAACTGTTTTTCTCCTGCCCACACAACTCCAACAACCAATGTGGAGTATACATTGGTCTGGGATGGATGTTTCGGTATATGTGCTGTGGCATTCAAGTGAGGTGGGACTATAAATGGCAAACAGAATACATTACATCTCCAGCACACACGTAGGCATGCACACATAGGGAGATATCAGCCAGGTGCCATAGACTATTAGTTAGCCTCTGTTAAGGCAGCTTCTGCAAATTCCTCAAAAATTGTATTGATAACTGTATATGCTACTTGTATTAATTGTATATCTATGTATTATAAAGTGCATTAGAGTGGCTTATGTTAGCTAGATAGGGCGCTATATCAAATGTTGTATATCATTATTATTTGATTTCGCAGTATCCCTGGATAGACATCTTATCGTTACTATCCTCTTGTTCCGTACGAATTATTTTAATTATTATATAACTCAGTGTATAATATATTTATATTATAAACCATAAATGACGCCACTTTGTATTGAATGGTTCAGAAAAATAAGTGCTTAATATTCTTCGCTTTGATATTGCAACATCTGGCTGTATACATGTATATTTTACAACGAATCAGACATTTTCGATGGAAACGCGATGACGCCACTTAAAAATGCTAATTTCATGTCATAATAATGCCATGTTATCATCCGATTACAAGAAGCTACAACATTACGAGATGTATAATGTATAATAATCTTTACACATTACAAATGAAAGATGACGTCATTTTGAGTTGAATGGTGAAGAAAACTAAGTGCTAAATATTCTTCTCTTTAATAATAATAATGATATTGATTATAATTGAACATTAATATTACAACATCTGGCTATATACATGTATATTTTACAACGATTGTTATTGACGTCAATGACTCCGGATCACCCTGACACGTCATGAAATTGATTATTCATGACGTCACGAACAATAGCGTGACCCTTAAAGGTCAACGTAATTTCGCCTCACTTTGAATATTTCTGACGTCACCAATCCAGAGCAGAGACACCCGGAATTTGAGGAAAACACTCAAAAACATCTTAAAATCGTTGTTTCTTTCGCTGATTTTGGTTTATATGAATTAGAATGGGGATAACCCTACTGTATTTTGCAATTCGCGGCGTTATATCGTCATTATACTTAGGCAAAAATCCGTGTTACTGGCGACGCGACTCAATTTGCGACAGTATAATCACGATATACCGCCGCAAATTTCAAAACACAGTAGGGTTATCCCCTAATAATCATAACATATTTCATCCAGACGACCACAATGAAGAGACCCAGTAAAGCTATTCAAAAGAAACAAAGTAGTGACATGGAAATTGTTAATACTATTTGACATTAAAAAAGCAGGAACATTTTGGTTTATGTATAAGGAGTAACATGAATAACAATCGATAGAAATCCAACGAATTCCATATCAAAACAAGAGAATTTCATCGAAAAAAATATAATAACCGTAAAGTTTTTATTATTTGAGTGTTTAATTTCCCCATGTCTGCAGTGTCAGTGACAATGACTGTCACAGAATGATATGTTCTACAGTGGCTTAATTATATTTTTGGACACCCACAAATTATTTATACGGTGTTCATGCTTTTAATCAAGGATAATTACGATGGAGTCTAACTCATTGAATGTTCCATCATTATTAAATTAAAGCTTAGCCTTAGTGGACTTGATCGGGAAATTCAAAATCATCACACAACCAGTTAAAACATGTCAAACAAATCTACAAGTTACTTTTTGATATAAAATACGTTATGATTATTTGAAACGATAAACATCCTTGATACAACAGGATTACCCTCACCTACGTTCTCCGTACCTCTGGAATGCGTCATGACTAAGTCGAAGGTTGTGTACGCGCAAATCTTGTGGATGATAAAAAAGACTAGTTTGAAAAAGAATCGTGCGGCACCGTAACGGTAACATTGACTAGGTGTGAAATCGGGTGTCGCTCCCCTGTATTCTTTAACGGTCATGTGTTAGCATTGCGATTGGTCAGGGTTTAACATCTGAAACCTTTTAAATAGAGAACCACGTGTGTTTGATTTCGTTAGGAGTATATATATATAACAGGGATGTAGAGAACGTACATGAAGGTAACCCCTGTAATTTATCAATATACTATAACATTTGTTAAGAGTCGTGTATAGCAAACACAACCTTAAGGAAACACAAATACAAACAAAATATCCATAATATAATTTATTTTATAACATACTTGTCCGTTATATGGGATGTATTGCATGTGTGATGCTGCTTACTGCGCATAGACTTTATTCTGTGCGAATGGCACGCGTTATATCCGCTCAACAAGCACAATATTCGTCTGGCACGCGCCATATCCGTTTTACTTCCTATTCAACACTTTTCAAAATACAATCACACCTAAAACTGCTAGTAAACACACTGTATCCATCAGTATTTGCTATTCTGTGAAATGTGTTTTATTTAGGTACGAGGGCCTTTCAATAAATTCTGCCATCACACAGCTCCCGTACGAACGGACAATAGAATAGTTAAGCGTCTTTACTCTTACAGTATTACTGTGTTTACAGGACAATGTACGCGCAAAATTTTGAAATCATTCGACAGAAGTGAACACGTTATTCGTTGTTAAATGGTATGCACTCGTGAATAAAGGCTTCTTTTCAATGCTAAAATGAAGGTTGGGTCACATCCGAAATACTTTCCAATTCTAAACCAAGGTGTGCTTTACAGATACCGCCAACTCAGATATATGCAGAGTTGGGCAGCATAACAGGCACCTCTGCCGTCACAGTGTTTGCAGTTGGTTGAACAAATTCAAGGATGGTAAAGTTGACATCAAAGAGAACACACGGCCAGACATCAAGGAAGTTAAGGATGGGTGATGGTCGATATACTGCTTCTGAGAAATCTCATTTGGGTGGCATTTCAGAAGTCAATACGCATCATATTCTGACCAAGTGCTTAGATTAAAGACAAAAGGACAAAAAAATGATATGTGCTAAAATATATTGAAAAAGTATGGTTATTGCGGCTCAAGAAAGCTATCCGAGTCACTCAGTGCGGATGAGACCTGGGCGTACTACTTTGAACGCCAGAAGCGCATAAATAGAAAGCAATGGTTGTCGAGAATGGAGAATGGCCAGTGATTACAAGACCCTTAAACAGCGCCAAGAACGTTTTGTATGCCATTTGTTGTTCAATTCTAGTGAGCGTGTGGTAGAGATACCGCGCGAGGAAGGGAAAACTACCAATGCCAGGTGTTACAGGGATAAAGTACTAAAGCCTGTCAAAAGATTCTACATGAAAAAGCATCCAAATAAAGAATTGAACGTCATCAAGAAAATTCACGATAATGCTTCATCCCACAAAAGCAATATTGAACAGGCGTTTTTGAAGCAAGAGAAAATAGTTCAGATTGACCAACCATCCTATTCACCGGATCTAAGTCCTTGCGTTTTCTTCCTGTTTCAAATCAACCAATGAATACAATTAAACAATTGTTCTATAGTAAAAATGTAAATATACGGATTGATCAGCGTTTTTTTAATTTCCTAGCGGGCTTCATGCAATATGAATGTAACCGATTTGCGTTCATACCGGCATGACAATTAAAAAACCGCCGTTCATATATATTTGACAGCATAGAAATTGTGCTTGTCAAAAGATGAAAGATGTGTTGCCCAAGTCCGTCCCATCGCGTCCCGTCCCATGAGCGGGGGCATTTATGTCTTACAGACATTTTCTAGATATTTACCATAGTGCCTGTTTATGAGGTCTTTCCTTTGTTAATAAATTTTCCCCTGTTAATGTTACATAGTATATTTCCTAATGCAAGTAGATACCAGTGCAGTCCTACTTAAATAAGTATTAACTGTTTGTATCGGAATTTCGTAGTATATACCTGTGTCGTATTAACTGTTTGTATCGGAGTTTCGTAGTATATACCTGTGTCGTATTAAATGTTTGTATCGGAGTTTCGTAGTACATACCTGTGTCGTATTAACTGTTTGTATCGGGGTTTCGTAGTATATACCTGACTGTGTCGTATAAACTGTTTGTATCGGAGTTTCGTAGTATATACCTGCGTCTTATTACATGTTTGTATCGGAGTTTCGTGGTATATACCTGCGTTGTATTTAATGATTGCACACATGTTGCATACATATAAAATTATTGAATATTGCAACGTTTGACAGCCATATGTCTGTGTTTGTCTGGTTTTATTCTATTATTGTCAATACTAATTAATTTAATAGTATTACTAGTTACTTGTGTCGGAAAATATGTACACATATATACCTGTGTGGTCCTATTGTTTTCTGTGTTGATTGTTTGTATCTAAGTTAAGTAATATTGCAGTACATACCTGTGTGGTTTCATTATTATATATATATAAGTTCTTATCTATATATATACCGTATGTATTACGTAGTATTGCTCGTGTCTGTGTGGTTTTATTCTATATTTGTATATATATGATAATTATTTCATTACTGTCTATACTGGTGTCAGATTAAATGTATACCTAGCTGTTTGGTTATATCATTTTCTGTGTTAGATGCGAGTATCTGTCTGTGTTGCGTAGTAATTTCACACCGTCATCGGGTTCATCGGGCTGTACTACATGACAAACATCACGAGGTCGCGTTATTTAAAGCATGATCACCTTAATGGTAAATTTATTTTTTCAAAAAATAGCTATCATTATCAACGAAATCTCACAAATTCATAATTAATGTTACACGGGGTTACACGATCGGTCTTATGACTTAATGAACCGTTAAACTAACAAATCTTCGAACACTCAGACTATAGAGACTGTAATACCTATATACGAGATACGTGCGAGTACCTGATGATGTACTATCTATGTTAGTGGTGCAGTAAGAGAGGCTTACCAATAACCACGTAGGCATGGCCTGTTAAGGTATACGTAGTGAGAAACACATGTATCACATGTGTGTTTTTCCTTAGACTAGACTCTTGTAAGGTTCATCAGCTCTATTGATCGTAAACACAGCTGACGGAGGCATATGTATACCGTGTAAGCATTCAGACCTCGAGATAGCAGGGTAAGTTTCTCGTAGTTGACGTTTAAAACGCTTTTATACTTCTATAACCTGATGACTGAAAATTGTGCCTTGTAGTAAGTTGGTGCTTGATCTTTTTTTAGTTAATATTGGAGCAAGGTCAAGGTTATATCTATTTATATCACTTTGTTTATGTTTGACATCGTTTGCGTTATCCATTCAGTATTTTTGTACACCATCAATGTTATTCTCAATGTATACTAGGTAAATGACATTGTTCCATGTCTTATTCGGATTATTAAATATTTCATTATTATCTTATATCTATAATCACACAATTTACTAGCATTTACCTTTCTTTTAACAGGGAGGTTTGACGATTCTCATCGTGACACAGCTAATGTGCCGTGTCTTTTAAGTAGGAGGTAGTTAATATAAAACTGTCCGATTTACAGTGCATTTCAGTGTTTGTGATAGGAAGTAATATAAGCTTTAAAGTTGTATTCCCGTCCCTCTGAAATCCTAAATACTGTTTGTTTCTGTACAATGTGCACTATGTATCTTGATTAGTACGTTTCAATATGAAGTGCTACTTTCTTACGTGGATCGGAGTTGAGGGGGTAGAAATTCGACTATTGACTTAACTTTTGGCACAGAGAACACTTAACATCAATATTTGCCTAGCTCCACTCGGCGGTTGAAATGATAGAGTGAAACAGGTTGCAAAAGAGTCTTTTTTTTGCTCCACTCAGTAGAACTTGAAATATCTAAGTAAAACGTCTTCAAGGAAAAACACATTATTCCCTTTCTCCGCTCAATTAAAGCTCTTCTCGTTTGCTCTGCCATGCGATGAAAGTGGTGCTGTGATCTCAGACACCATATTTGCCTCGCTCCGTTGCAAAGATTGAAATAAAAAAATTCTGACATAGTCAAACTTGGGGAAAAAAAATCTCCACGTCACTTCGCTTGGCCAGATACAGATAAGCCATAATGAAAATCGCCCTTTGTACGCTTTGAACAAACCTTCAATCAGAAGTTGACTAGATCTATACTCTTAAATGTATGTTACAAAACACATTATTGTGTCACTGTAAATCTCTATGTGTGATGTGAGTGTTAATCTCATTTTACGATGTAACTGTCGATTTCAATGTTTGGGATAACTATATTTCAATATGTTACGTTACTGTACGTTTCAGTATGTGATGTTATTGTTCGTTTCAGTATGTGATGTTATTGTTCGTTTCAGTATGTGACTTTATCGTACGTTACAGTATGTGACGTTATTGTACGTTACAGTATGTGACGTTATTGTTCGTTTCAGTACGTGATGTTATTGTTCGTTTCAATATGTGACGTGATAGTTCGTTTCAATATGTTACTATTGTAGGTTACAGATTATGACGTTATTGTACGTAACAGTATGTGACGTTAGTGTATGTTTCAGTATTTGACGTTATTGTAGGTGACAGATTATGACGTTATTGTACGTTTCAGTATATGACGTTATTGTACGTTAGAGTATGTGACGTTATTGTACGTTAAAGTATGTGACGTTATTGTACGCTACAGTATGAGACGTTATTGTATGTTACAGTATGTGACTTTATTGTACGTTACAGTATGTGACGTTATCGTTCGCTTCAGTATGTGACGTTATTGTTCGTTTTAGTGTGTGACTTTTTTTACGTTTCAGAATGTGACGTTGTTGAACGTTACATTATGTGACGTTATTGTACGTTACAGTATGTGACTTTGTTGTACGTTACAGTATTTGACGTTATCGTTCGTTTCAGTATGTGGCGTTATTGTTCGTTTCAGTATGTGACGTTTTTGTACGTTTCAGAATGTGACGTTCTTGAACGTTACATTAAGTGACGCCATTGTCCCCTACAGTATGCGACGTTATCGTTCGTTTCAGTATGTGACATTATTGTTCGTTTCAGTATGTGACGTTTTTGTTCGTTTCATTATGTGACGTTATTGTACGTTTCAGTATATGACGTTATTGTACGTTAGAGTATGTGACGTTATTGTACGTTAAAGTATGTGACGTTATTGTACGCTACAGTATTTGACGTTATTGTACGTTTCAGTATGTGACGTCATTGTACAGTTTCAGGGACGTTGTTGTACGTTTCAGTATGGGACGTTATCTACGTTACAGTATGTGACGTTATTGTATGTTACAGTATGTGACGTTATTGTACGTTCCAGTATGTGACGTTATTGTACGCTTCAGTATTTGACATTATTGTACGTTACAGTATGTGACGTTATTGCACGCTTCAGTATTTGACGTTATTGTACGTTCAGTATGTGACGATATTGTACGTTAGGGATTATAACGTTATTGTACGTAACAGTATGTGACGTTAGTGTATGTTTCAGTATTTGACGTTATTGTAGGTGACAGATTATGACGTTATTGTACGTTTCAGTATATGACGTTATTGTACGTTAGAGTATGTGACGTTATTGTACGTTAAAGTATGTGACGTTATTGTACGCTACAGTATTTGACGTTATTGTACGTTACAGTCTGTGACGTTATTGTATGTTACAGGATGTGACGTTATTGTACGTTTCAGTATGTTACGTTATTGTTCGTTTTAGTGTGTGACTTTTTTTACGTTTCAGAATGTGACGTTGTTGACCGTTACAGTATGTGACGTTATTGTACGTTACAGTATATGACGTTATTGTACGCTTCAGTATTTGACATTATTGTACGTTACAGTATGTGACGTTATCGTTCGTTTCAGTATGTGGCGTTATTGTTCGTTTCAGTATGTGACGTGATAGTTCGTTTCAATATGTTACTATTGTAGGTTACAGATTATGACGTTATTGTACGTTTCAGTATGTGACGTCATTGTACAGTTTCAGTACGTGACGTTATAGTTCGTTTTAGTATGTGACGTTATTGTTCGTTTCAATATGTGAATTGTACGTAACAGTATGTGACGTTATTGTACGTTACAGATTATGACGTTATTGTACGTAACAGTATGTAACGTTATTGTACGTTACAGTATGTGACTTTGTTGTACGTTACAGTATTTGACGTTATTGTAAGTTACAGTATGTGACGTTATTGTATGTTACAGTATGTGACGTTATTGTACGTTCCAGTATGTGACGTTATTGTACGCTTCAGTATTTGACATTATTGTACGTTACAGTATGTGACGTTATCGTACGTTACAGTATGATACAGATAAGCCATAATGAAAATCGCCCTTTGTACGCTTTGAACAAACCTTCAATCAGAAGTTGACTAGATCTATACTCTTAAATGTATGTTACAAAACACATTATTGTGTCACTGTAAATCTCTATGTGTGATGTGAGTGTTAATCTCATTTTACGATGTAACTGTCGATTTCAATGTTTGGGATAACTATATTTCAATATGTTACGTTACTGTACGTGTCAGTATGTGATGTTACTGTTCGTTTCAGTATGTGATGTTATTGATCGTTTCAGTATGTGACTTTATCGTACGTAACAGTATGTGACGTTATTGTACGTTACAGTATATGACGTTATTGTACGCTTCAGTATTTGACTTTATTGTACGTTACAGTATGTGACGTTATCGTTTGTTTCAGTATGTGACGTTATTGTTCGTTTTAGTATGTGACTTTTTTACGTTTCAGAATGTGACGTTGTTGAACGTTACATTATGTGACGTTATTGTACGTTACAGTATATGACGTTATTGTACGCTTCAGTATTTGACATTATTGTACGTTACAGTATGTGACGTTATCGTTCGCTTCAGTATGTGACGTTATTGTTCGTTTTAGTGTGTGACTTTTTTTACGTTTCAGAATGTGACGTTGTTGAACGTTACATTATGTGACGTTATTGTACGTTACAGTATGTGATGTTATTGGACGCTACAGTATTTTACGTTATTGTACGTTTCAGTATGTGACGTTATTGTTCGTTTTAGTGTGTGACTTTTTTTACGTTTCAGAATGTGACGTTGTTGAACGTTACAGTATGTGACGTTATTGTACGTTACAGTATGTGACGTTATTGAACGTTCCAGTATGTGACGTTATTGTTCGTTTCAGTATGTGACGTCATTGTTCGTTTCAATATGTGACGTGATAGTTCGTTTCAATATGCTACGTTATTGTTCGTTTCATTATGTGACGTTATTGTACGTTTCAGTATGTGACGTTATTGTTCGTTTTAGTATGTGACTTTTTTACGTTTCAGAATGTGACGTTGTTGAACGTTACAGTATCTGACGTTATTGTACGTTACAGTATGTGACGTTATTGAACGTTCCAGTATGTGACGTTATTGTTCGTTTCAGTATGTGACTTTTTTGTTCGTTTCAGAATGTGACGTTGTTGAACGTTACATTAAGTGACGTTATTGTACGTTACAGTATGTGATGTTATTGTATGTTTCAGTATGTGACGTTATTGTATGTTACAGTATGTGACGTTATTGTACGTTTAAGTATGTGACGTTATTGTTCGTTTTAGTATGTGACTTTTTTTTACATTTCAGAATGTGACGTTGTTGAACGTTACATTAAGTGACGTTATTGTACGTTACAGTATGTGACGTTATTTTACGTTTCAGTATGTGACGTTATTGTTCGTTTTAGTATGTGTCTTTTTTTTACGTTTCAGAATGTGACGTTGTTGACCGTTACAGTATGTGACGTTATTGTACGTTACAGTATGTGACGTTATTGTTCGTTCCAGTATGTGACGTTATTGTGCGTTTCAGTATGTGACGTTATTGTTCGTTTTAGTATGTGACTTTTTTTTACATTTCAGAATGTGACGTTGTTGAACGTTACATTATGTGACGTTATTGTACGTTACAGTATGTGATGTTATTGTATGTTTCAGTATGTGACGTTATTGTATGTTACAGTATGTGACGTTATTGTACGTTTCAGTATGTGACGTTATTGTTCGTTTTAGTATGTGACTTTTTTTTACGTTTCAGAATGTAACGTTGTTGAACGTTACAGTATGTGACGTGATTGTTCGTTCCAGTATGTGACGTTATTGTGCGTTTCAGTATGTGACGTTATTGTTCGTTTTAGTATGTGACTTTTTTTTACATTTCAGAATGTGACGTTGTTGAACGTTACAGTATGTGACGTTATTGTACGTTTAAGTATGTGACGTTATTGTTCGTTTTAGTATGTGACTTTTTTTTGCGTTTCAGAATGTGACGTTGTTGAACGTTACAGTATGTGACGTTATTGTTCGTTCCAGTATGTGACGTTATTGTACGTTTCAGTATGTGACGTTATTGTTCGTTTCAGTATGTGACTTTTTTGTACGTTTCAGAATGTGACGTTGTTGAACGTTACAGTATGTGACGTTATTGTACGTTACAGTATGTGACGTTATTGTTCGTTTCAGTATGTGACGTTATTGTTCGTTTCAGTACGTGATGTTATTGTTCGTTTCAATATGTGACGTGATAGTTCGTTTCAATATGTTACGTTATTGTTCGTTTCATTATGTGACGTTATTGTACGTTTCAGTATGTGACGTTATTGTTCGTTTTAGTATGTGACTTTTTTTTACGTTTCAGAATGTGACGTTGTTGAACGTTACAGTATGTGACGTTATTGTACGTTTCAGTATGTGACGTTATTGTTCGTTTCAGTACGTGATGTTATTGTTCGTTTCAATATGTGAAGTGATAGTTCGTTTCAATATGTTACGTTATTGTTCGTTTCATTATGTGACGTTATTGTACGTTTCAGTATGTGACGTTATTGTTCGTTTCAGTATGTGACGTTATTGTATGTTTCAGTATGTGACGTTATTGTTCGTTTCAATATGTGACGTTATTGTGCGTTACAGTACATTATTTGTGATCGTCTTGCTAAACAGTTAAGTGTCCGTCAATTAATTAAGGGAATTTAAGAAAGTCTGCTGTCCCTTAACAGTCATTACTTAATAATCTCCCCGACGTACGTGTTAGGAACAGTTTCGCGTATAATTTATTATAGAATCAATACACAATAGTGTGATTCATTACTAGCCTTGTGACGGAAGGAACCAGGAAACAGCAAGTGTTAGAGTTCTGAACCAGGCGCTGTTTACATCAGCAATAACATTTATTACATTCGTTTCCATGGTGCATTCATATTTTGTATTGTATGGAAAACTGTAATCAACTTCAGTTCTTCCCAGTAAATTCCGTTGCCCTACTATCTAACACGGTTTCATTCGTCATAATGAGTTTTACCAGATATTGCCTACTAAGCTGTAGCCTGGCGGACAGCTAAATCAGATATTACTATGGTGAATACCTGCCATATAATCAGCTTAGCATAAGCCATTCAGCTTCATAGGATGGATTAAATAAAATCTGGATATAATAAATAGCTATAAAAAGTACAAAAACTGCTGCAACAGGTCTGATAGATAATTTTCTGTAAAGGAAGGGTCAACATTTTGCCCCGACTTTGATTTCTTTTATTCTTTTGTCATATGTAGATACATAAAAATGATCAATAACTGCATAAATGTTTATTCATAATTGCTCCTGATAACGATAGTGGACCTCCTTGCATAACACCAGATTGAGTGACGGGGGTATCCTAACAAAATGACAGAAAAATGTTAAAGGCGAATGTTATTTTGAAAATGAATTATGATAGTGTACAGTGTATAAAATTACCGTTATTTTGATAAAAAATATTTCATATTGGTATACATGAAGTAAGCGTAGTGATACTTTTAATTAGAAAAACATGCAAAATGTTCACAAATTTTAAGCTATAACCAACATTGTCAACTTGCCTACATATAGTTACAATGGTAGTCTATATTTTAAACTTATTTAAAAACTTTCCATATTTATGTATTCTGTCTACAAAATCCTTTTTATGTAATATCAAAACCAGTAAAGTACTTTTTTAGCATGCCAAACATGATGAACAAAACTGATCTGATACTATTTTGTCAGTCGTTTGTGTATTATCGCTAATTGTGTGTCTATTAATTCAGCGTTAAGATAAGCACGTTAACGTTATGCACATGTAAACATAATATCACAACACGAACTATATAGTATGGGAACATTGCCAGTGCGAAATGTTCACAACGCCAATTGTAAATATAATAAGAAATGCCAACAAAAATCACACCATTTTTTCCCCGATTCTACAGTATGTAGGCAAGTGTTATTTACTGAGATGTAATTCCACATTTTTGGTTATTATTTTACATCTTGATTTGTCATTTTTTACCTGGAGGTTTCATTTACACAGGAGTACACTTATGTATAATCTGAAATGAAGTTATACAGTGGGGACGACAAGCACTGAAACAGTATCATTGCTAAAACATCAGTATTCTATGTAAATGTTAATATTTTCAACTCGGCGTTAAGCAATTTGGTAACAATAAACAAACAATATAGTGGCGAATTTTAAGGGAGTAGAACTCAAACCCCAACGTTTCACGTGAGCATTCACAGTTGAACTACAGTGATATTGACATTGGATCGTCCTTCTTTTCATAGGTGTACCGGTATATGAAACAAGATGGCGGACAAAGACGATGTGTACAAAGCAGGTATGTTCCATATTTTGTAATTTGTCCAACGAAAATGTCCCATCGTCCAGTGCGATGTGATAAACAACTCTATGTATTATGTATGTGCAAGATACTCAATATATCGAGTACATCGAAGAAGATAGAAAAAAATAAGATACTTCAGATGATGTGTATGCATTTATTTTCATGTGTTGTCTCCACAAATACTAATTTTAATATGCCCAGTAAAAACTTAAAGGAATTCCTTGCTGTATAGAACAACAAAAGAATACAGAAGTTTTAACAAAACCGTAATCCGAACCAAAAATCGATAAAACTAGGGCAAAATATGATGAAAGGAAAGCTTCACATGAAAAACCTTGAATTGGTGCAAGTGGCATAAGACAAATCCAATTAATGTCAGGTCCGTACATCGAGTATAAATGGGAACGAAGTAATTTATTTTAGCATGTTATATAAGAGCTTATTAGACGTGAAGGAAGATACATCAGTTATCTTGTCCTTTCTTCAGCTTTATCTCGGTGACATTATACCAGGGCCCAGTTGTTCAAAAGGTGGCCAGCTTAATCACTGTTTAACGTCATATTTCAACCTTTAATAATTTTGCATGTAAATTAATTCTACTTAATATTTGATACCTGGAAAGTTTTGACTAATTCAATGGTTGTGTTTTAAAGATACACAAAACTGAAAATTTGCGCTAATCACTGATTAAGCTAATGACCTTTTGAACAACTAGGCCCAGATAATAAATTAAGTTTATATTGACAAATCAATATTTCGTTGATATTGTTTTACGCATAAGTCGTTTTGTCTTCTTGGTTTGTTTCTTTTATATAATCATTTTTTTTTTATAAATTGTTGTAGATGAAATAAAAGACGGTGACGTCACAAGATACACTGACGATGCAGGCAATACAATAGAATACGTAGAACATGACGGTTTACATCAGCCCCTTTATGAGTTAAAAATCGGTGCTGTTCCTGACTTTCGCGCAAACATCAAGAGGATACAAGGAATGCCATGTCGGGAAAGTGATGTGTTTATATGTGCATATCCGAAGGCAGGTAATACGGGTGTTATTTCGAATATTATACATTGAGCAACGCAGTACATATTTATTTCTATTGTAATTAAAATTGATAATACTGTAATGTAAACTTTGACCTATACTTTTATGAATGATTAACCGGTTTATGGGAAGCTCTTTTGAAAGAATGGCACACTCTGAGGAAAGAATGACCTGTGTGTCATTTTTTCTTTCGAAAAATCCTCACAATTGGGAGTCAGATATGCTTGATTTATGTAATTTCAGTACTACAGTACCAATTTTGTACAAAATTATAAATATGAAAAATAAATACAAAAAGTACATATTTCATCAGTGACATTATCGTATCAGTATAACCTGCAGTATCGGTGATCATTGATGTCAGCCGCACTGATACAAAACCTTTTTATCATGAAAAATTTAGAAACATTCGCTATGGATTCAAAAGTGCGAAATATACTGAAAAAATCTCCATTTACAACAATCTTAAAGTTATTCTTACAACGAATAATGATTCATATTCAACTATCTTTTGGATACCATTTTTTTCGATCGTTTCAATTAATTTCAAACCAATTTTATGATTTAATTCATACTACTCCTAGGAACGCACTGGGTATGGGAGATAACTCGTATGCTTGTGAAAGGAACCACAGAATATGAAAAAGAATCAAAGGAAACAGTTACAACTGAATTTCACCTACCAGAGGAGTTCGAAGCCATCCCATCACCAAGAGTTTTCAATACACACTTGCCATTTCGTCATTTACCCAAAGGCATAGTAAAGAAGAGGTGTAAAATGATATTCATACAGAGAAATCCGAAAGATGTAGCTGTGTCCTTCTACAATCACACGAAAAACTTCGACTACCTCTTCTACAATGGCGATTGGGACCATTACCTTAAACTGTTTTTGTCAGAAAAAAGTGAGACTTATATCCTATGCATCTTCTTTTTGTGATATATTGAATAATGGGAAAAAATCTGGAATTATAATTTGAAAATCAATTGTAAAATAGGAGCGCTAAGATCTTATTTTCAACTTAGATATGTTTTATTCTATTTCATTTGAAATTTAACATTTGATTGGTCATTCGAAATGATTTGCGACGGTATAACAACAATATGCCGCCGCCAATCTCAAAATACAGTAAGGATATCCCCTTTATATTTCTATTGAAGAAAAGGAATACCGAGTGAAGATACTCAAATTATTGATAATATTTATAATTTATATTATTGAACGTTATTAATGAAAACAGTCAGCGGGGATCCGCATTCCTATTATATCCACTACTGTTATGTTAGGTACTGCTACAGTATTTTACTAGGTATTTAACCCTCGTATCACCTATTTACAGTATTCTATCAAGGCTGGTTCCAGTACACGTCGGAGTGGGAGACTGTGATGACTGATAACTCTCACATAGACTTCCTCAAGTTATACTACGAGGACCTCACCAAGGTTAAACTTTACATATTCCTAAAATTTATCTATTCTTAAACTTTATCTATTCCTAAACTTTATCTATTCCTACACTTTGTCTATTCCTAAAGTTTATATATTCTTAAACTTTATCTATTCTTAAACTTCATTTTTTCTTAAACTTTATCTATTCCTAAACTTTATCTATTCTTAAACTTTATCTATTCCTAAACGTTATCTATTCCTACACTTTATACATTCTTAAAGTCATAATATTATCTGTTTACATTACATTACACGTACCCGGAAAGATAACGGTGTACAATTATGTCAGGCTCGTAGGTTTTCCATCACCATGCCCATAAAAAATAAGATATGAATAGCATATTGTATAATGTATTTATCAATAATGAGTACTGTATACAATGCTGGTTTAATGACTTGGAAACATACACATCATCAATTGTGAATGCTGTATACAATGTATCTTAGATACACACAAATGTACCAAAATGTATAATGATATGCTGTTGTTTTGTAAGTGTGTTGATATGATATCAGATATTTTTTTTGTTTTGTTTCAATGACCAGGATCCTTTGAGTGAAATTGCGAAAATTGGAACATTTCTGGATGTTGAGTTCGACGATAAATTTGTTGCTGCAATTGCTGAAAAATGCAGCTTTAAGAATCTAAAAACTGCCAACGTTTCCAAGGAGTATACCTTCAGTAACAATCAACAAATAGACGTAGGACTCATGTTTCGGAAAGGTATATTAATTATAGATCATATGTTAATGCATGCTTATGTCATTCATTTCCAGATATATACATATACGTCGTTTATCCCCGCTTAGAAGAAGGGATATAAATATAAAGTAATATGTTTATGGGAGTATGAGTTCAACTATGTGAATCCAATCTCACTTTTTTATTTTTGGAAGAGATTTTGATTTGTCGCATTTATGTTATTACAATTCGGAAAATAAGCGTCCGAGATTTGCGTCCGCGGATTAAAGAGGCTGCTAGTATTATCGAAAACACATTTTTTTTTGTAGCACATGCTTTTTCAAAAGAAAAATATTATTGATAACATTTTAGAGATTTGTATTTGTTTTCCCAAGTAGATTATACGTTAGTTACGTATCTTTATGCACTTTTCGTCCTGTAACATAAAAAGGTCACCGTATGGTAACTTTTAATACAGTGTCAAACAAACAATACACAAACACGAAAATGGCAAACATATGACAAGTACATCATGGCATTATCATATATAAAGTAAAACAAAAACATTAGTTGGTAGCCATAAGCCTGGGTAGGGGTTGCCAAACTCCGCCACTTAGATCTTGTGTTACATTTCATTACTTCCAAAAAAGGGAGGACGTGGGTGGGTTAAAAACTTCAAAAGGTATACTAGAATAGGTCTGTACTTTAAATGATTAACAAAAAAATGCTTTGTACTGTTTGACCTTTTTGTTTACAAAACTTTCTCAGTGGCGCGCTCAATACAATGCATAATACCCACAATCCTCTGCTTTCCATTCAAGGCGAGTAACTCTTCATATCCCTAGCTTGCATACATGCGAGACAACTCTTCGATACTAATTATGCTATTTACTCAAATAAAGTGCTTATGTGCACGACTCAAGATGTATAAATTAAACTTAGTGTTTAGCTGCCTTTTATCACTATGGCATGTAGTCCGAATTATTCTGACGTTTTATCGACTTTTTTCATATCGGTCTGTCGTCGATTAACGTCGTTTATCGACGACAGAAGTCGATAAAACGTCCGAATAATTCGGACTATATGGCATGTAAATGTTTAATCAACTATACGTTACTTTAAACTTATTCATTATCAGAGTAATCACAAACTAGCACACTTCGGGCATCAGTTAGAGTGTGAAACTGCTGAAACAAGGACACGAAAGTCTGTGCGCTTATGGAAGTGTCATGCTGATGTCCGACACTTTTATTGTATGCTCTCTTTCCGCTTTTAACGCTATGTTGTGTTGGTTTTGAACAGGTAAAGTTGGAGATTGGAAGAACTGGTTCACTGTGGCACAGAGCGAGGAGTTTGACACGGTATACCGTAACAAAATGAAGGATTCAAAGTTCCAATATTCCTATTCAGTCGCATGAGAGTTTATTTGATTTCAAAGAGACCTGCTTCCGATTTTCGGTATTTTGAGCATTATTTGCATGCATCCTTTTGGTTATATATCTATAACAGATTTATGACACACAAACAGTATGATATTATAATCTGATTTTGATGGTTTTCCTAACTTTCAAATCCTATCCGTCGGTGTAAAGTAATAAACAGTTGCATATGGTTTCTCTTTGTGGTAAAGAACGGTTCTATTTTAAAACCCAAGGATTCTCAGCTTTTACCTTGCTTCGGCAAAAACAGACAATATTTAAATCCCCAATCATATCTCTTACTTTTTCTGCCAATCGAATTCGCTACATAAATGGCGTGATATGTAAAAGCGGTTCGATTTTGTGCAGTTACATAATTGAATTTCATTATTTTATAGATATCGTGCTGGTTACCTTCAGGATAAAAAATGGCATTTTTCTTTTTCTAACAAAGCAGATGTTATCAACTTTCCGTTAATACCACACTTAGGGATGAAATGTGTTAAAGAAATTAAACAAAAATGAATTAAATATTATTTTCTTACGTGCCGTAAAGAATTCGGTGTTAAACATAATGTCACACATGCCCCAATGTCCATTTATATGACGATATTTCTTGTCAAATTTTGGCACTCTTCTTCTGCTATTGCGATCATGTTTTGTTAATACTTCTTACTAACTGAATTGTGAAAAATCGTTTAGAAAACGAAGTGACGTAATAGTTCTTAATCAATGAAGACGAAAATACGTTTATTGTGTAAACATTACCTCTGACTCTGTCTAACACTTACACTACATCCGTAGAATTCGCTTATACATGGTAATAACGTAAGCATTGCTTCAACCATGCGCCTGGTGAGATTAGTAGTAGTCGGCGAAGACCTTGCAAGCTAATACTTGACAAAAATATACCATTGTAATTTCAAACCTTTTAATACCAATATACATATAATATTTACAAAATTATATTATTTCAATTTTTACCGCATTTTTTCCGAAAGATTGCGGCACGATAGCTTTAAGATTTCTCTTTCATTTGTTGGTACTCAAGGAAAATTCAGAAGTTCTTTGAAAACTATAAAAGTAAATTATTGCAGAAAATCTGAAGGAATCCATCTTAAGTTAATTTCCATGGAAGTTTATTTATAAAGTTGTAATTATATCATATTGTTTATGCCATAGCATGCCCTACGTACATAACCATTCGACACGATTACCTCTCAGATAAACCAGCTGAAGTTAATCTAACTGACTTATAAACCAAAAAAGGTTAATATAAATCAATTACATTTCGCAAGACTGATATAGATGAACATCTTAATTTCAGCGAAAGTAACAGTGTCAGTAATAAGGCGCAAAGCTTAGTTATGAAGCATATAGTAAAGCAACTGACATGGTTTCTTTATTGGTTACACGTTTTAAGTTGTTTTGAGGAGAAATTATGTACACTCCGAGGTCAGTAAAAACATTTCATTTTAGGAACAACACATTTCTTTTAATGAATACTATTTATAATTATTGCCATAAAAGGGCATTGTCGTGATATGATCACGTTTTTCCATACATTACAAACGGCATGGTACACTGCTTTGAGATGGATTCAAAAAATGACCTTTTGTCTGTTGGGGAATAAAAAAATTAAAAACACCCAGAATATGATAGGCATCGCAAATGTTACAATTACATTACAATTAATTATCAAAAATTCATTCTAGTTATTTACTAGACCAATGTATTGTAATCTGTTTAAACAGACCATACAAAACAATAGCAGTTATTATTAAGCTAAGTGGCATGAGAGTGTTTTTACATGCACTGTTTATTTTAATCCGACTTGAGCAGTGAATGTCTGTACGTATTTGTAACTAGAAGAGGAATCCTGATGTTTGAGTTGCAGATTTACACGAAGAAACATTTCCAGATCAAACACTTATATTAAGTATTGTGATATAACAGAAATGTAATTGAAACGCCCTGCATAACAACGTAAATGACTTTATTTTTCCGTTATTCCACAGGAAGGGTTGAAGAATAGGCAGTGAATGTTTTTGTTTAGTCACATTTTACAAAAGATAAAGAGACGAAATCATTCATTTTATGAATACAAATACTCGCTAATAAATCTTTGAAGAACAAACATATAATAAATGTCATGCATTCAATTTCAGAATATACATTCCATATCAAAATTCTTGGCAAATATGGAAGGTTTTGAGAAGTTTTTTTTATGAAATACTCATCAAAGTATGCTTGTCTTGTCATTAGTATCATAACGTTTACATAGAAAGCTCAGTGCATCTGATCTTTTATGTATGAAGAAAGCCATTGTCGGTTGGACACATTCCATATTAAAATAAATCAATATTGTGCCTGTTTACTAAACATTTTTCAAAAATATTTTTATTGTTCGTAAAAACATACGTTAGTGATGTATAATGTTTATAACAAAGTGTATAGGCATTGTTTTAAAACCAGGATTATCATTTATATAAAACAGTGATAAGGTATATTCCATGGTTTCCGTTTAGTATATTCAAAGTATACAAAGGCAACATTTCTTCAGGTTTTGACCTGAAAATTCCTGACCTAAAATTGACCTGAAATTCGTGTCAAATTTACGTGAAGATATGTTTAGGTCAATTTCATGAAAATTAACCTGATGTTCATTCTAATTTAAGGTAACTTTTCATGCCAAATTCAAGTCAATATTATGTCAAGATTCAGGGCACATTTCCACCTACAACCGATGTTTTGTGGTGGTTCATGTCAAAGTGATCTGCAGATTTGACCTAAAACTGCCCTGAATGTGATCTGACCCGACACGAAGAAATGTTTTCCGTGTGTGGTCACCGTTGCTGTAGGTCACGATCGTCATAGTGGAAGCTTGTTAGTCATGGATCGGTGTCGTATATGGCCAACACGGGGTTGACACTTCATCCTAGGCTCCACTTTACGATACATTATTATGGAGAGGGATGGGTGGGGTTCTGATGTAATCGAGATATACGAAATAATGTCTATATATTGTAGCGTCATAAATAGTGGCTGCAACATAATTAAATGTCCAAACTGTTTTAACTTGTGATATTTTATTTCAAATGTTTTTTCTATGTCATAAAATAAGTTTTATATATATGTATAAGACATCTAATAAACAGTTTGAAACTTGAACTTTTAATTTTTAGTATCCAGAATTTATTGATTCGTAGTGCTTGGTTATATAACTATGTGAACAAGTAAGATATGCCCTGAACATTGTTCAAACGAGAAGTAGACGAGAGCTTTCAGTAACTGATATATTTAAGGATCCCCATACCAATGCCAACAACTTTTACTATACGCTTCGGACACATTTTTCTGACAGGACTATACGTTTGATAAATCATTTCTGAAAAGAAAACCATACATTCTGGGACTTTTATGAACAATTAATAAAGAGGAAATAATCAGAAACAGAGTCCTGAGTATAAACATTAAGCAAGGCTACATCGGTATTGTGACCTTTAGCTTCAAAATGTTGTATTATTTCTCTAACCGTCTGAAGTGTCCTCAACGGAATAGCTCTGGCCCAATTGTTCTACAATTATATCCATAACAAAATTAAAAGGATATTACACATATGTACTGTATATACGAAAAGTACTATGGGACAGGGATCCTTAAGTTTTCATACATATAACATGTACAGCGGTATTGTCAGATAGCTAGAATGTTTTATGTTGAAAAGGTTAAAAAGGTATATAGTATTCCTGTTATATTGTTCATGTGGTGTATGAGTTTGAATTGAATGTACTCGTAAACAGATCATTTTTTAACTATTAAACGGTGCATTGTATCTGTTGACCTAAAATTGATTAATTGTATGGGTGATGAAATTAGCGACATACATAATAAATAAAAGAGATATACATCGTTCATTGTGTATTGTTAATTTGTGAGACTAGATTGACAAATATGAAGATCTTGTCAGGACCTGTCACGAGAAGGGCTGGCGGACATGGTGCATGCCTGTGGAAATTGGCTGCAGAGGGTTTGCGGGGCACTCGTTGTGGAGAGCAATGTGTAACGGGTAAGGAGAGAAGACGGGTATGTGGAAAAGCAGGCAGGGAAGCAGAAACCTCGTCCCTGTGGATTTGGAGGATTAAAGAGAGAGAGTGGAAGAGGGCATGTTAGTGATGTGTTTAGCAGTGACAATGAACTTTAACATCGCAGGTTATGGACAGTGTAATCTGTGTTCACTGCAGCAGACCACCCGCAAACATGTCGACGAAGCTGACCAGTTCCAGGTTGAGACAGATAACCTCAGCCGGCGCACCTTCGGAGGCCGACGTGGAAGCGCCGAAACGACCAATGAAGAAGGAACCCACCTGACGATTGAGCTGGTTTGCATACAATGTAACCGTAATCAGAAACAGAAAGTAGTAATTGTTACTTACGGCCTTGTAATTTATAAATTGTATTACAAAAACAACTTTGCTGTGCTGTTTTCTGATCATATAACTTATTTACTCATTTGAGCTGTTTATTAAATAAAGGCGCAGGAATGACTATTACAACTAAAAATGTATATCCTGCTATAATCATGAAGGCGACAACAAAGGTTAAGACTTTTTATTGGGACGTCTTTTTCAAATTCTGCATTTAAATTTATATATCAAGAGTATCTCATCGTAAAAAATAATGGTCGGATTTTGCTGAAATTTATTCATCAAAATTTATATTTACTTACTTAAAACGGGAATCCTTGACTCATGAAGCAACGATACATGCAGCAGTTTTTTGCGTCTTAGCTAATATCACATGCGCATTTATTAAAGACACAAAAAAACGCAAACACCAAATTAGCTACTATGATATATATATATTTTTTTTAAGGTTTCGAGATTATATGGCCACGGCTTCATATAGATGTGATTACCGACTTTAAATTAGAGTCATAGGTTTATATAAAGATATCTGCAGACTTATATAATAATCCAGTAGGGTTTCAGGAATTTACAGAACTGGCGTTTTTTAAGCGAGGATTCAGAAGCAGACTGAAAACAGCAAGTGATGTCTTTTGCGTAAGTTACAATATCATTTTCTGACAATAGCTCACGATCATTTAAGTAAGACGCTTTAAGATGAGCATCAAGGGACTGCCGGTAGAGGTCAGTATAGTCAGTGCCATCAGACGTCGTCCACTTATATGAGAATCTCATCAATTCCTCACAGGCGATTAAATATCAACGTAACATCAAGGTAGTTATCGTCAAAAATTCGACATTCCTTGACAAGGTCCTATTTAGAAGGTTCAATGAAATGGTCGATCAAAGATGAGCCGTCCTCAGAATGAACGTTAGTAAACATTGGTCCCTTACAAACATTAGATGTTGTTAAAGAGTAAAGCTGGTAGCAATTCATAACACCTTGCAGAAGATGACCTCGATAGTTTCCATATCCGACGATTCTAGGTCCACTTAATCTGGCATTGACATTACACATCATTACTACCGAGCCTTCCATTGGGAAACAAGGACATAGTTCATTCAGCTTGGCGATATTATCAGAGTATAACTCAGATCCATAACGCGTGGTAGGAAGATAATCATGAATGAAGGACAAAACCTCACGAAATACACACGTTGCGTAGTTCACAAATCCTGTCGAATGCCACCCACAACGTCTTTCACCCAAAATTGGTCTATATTGGTCCGGATCATCATTTGTACAATCGCATCTGGGCTATATGCTAGCTCTTTGGCTGTTACAGCAGAAACTCGAGGTCTACTACCACAGGTTGTGAAAGATCTTTGTCTAGACCGTGCCACCAGATCTAATTTGACCACACACAAATGTCATGAATAACACCATAGCCCAAGATCATCTTTCTGGAGCAAACATGACTCGAGCAGTAATCTACGTACTATCAGACACACTGCCAATATCACACAACCACCTAGATACATATCTTGTACAACAAGATAAAGTTAAGCTTATCACCTTAGGCTCTGTTACATTGGTTCTGCGTAAAAAAATCACCGCTGGAGCCAATAAGAAGACTACTATACCTATTTTTCATAGTCTTAATGCAATCCAATGATATAGAAAGGAATCCAGGTCCAAGTAATGACACCACAAAATACATGTGTGGTACATGTGACCACACAGTTACTTGGGAAAACAAAGGCATTGTTTGCGAACCATGCGATCAATGGTTCCAAATAGACTGCCAAAATATCGGCAGTAAGTCATATGAATGTCTAAATATGGTATTCAGAGCTTGCAGAGCCCTAACAGTAGTAGTGGTAGTGGTTGTAACCCCTTTCATTGTTCCACGCCTGTAAGGAAATCAACATATGCCCCCAAAGGCCACAAGGCACTCGGGGTACTGAATGTAAACTTCCAGTCCCTTCAGCCAAAATAACATTTGCTAGGAAATGTAATCGAGAGTGCCAAACCCGACATCATCATAGGCACAGAGACCTGGCTGTCTCCAAAAATCAAAGATAACGAAGTATTCCCAGATTCCTTTAAGCTGTTTAGGAAGGACAGGGTAGGTAGAGAAAGCGGGGGTGTTTTAATAGCCATCAAAAACGCCTTATTAGCCAGGAAGTCCCTGAGCTTACTGCCTCTGACAATTGTGAGTTAGTATGGGCCATGCTTGACACTATTGGCTACAGATCTCTGTACATATCTGCCTTTTACCACCCTAAAACAAACGATGTGGAAAGTGCTGCCATTTTTGAGGCGTCTCACAAACGAGCGACTGGTATTAAAAAGGCAGCTCTCCAAATCGGTGAGGATTTTAACCAGCCTGGTTGGAACTGGCAATCCAGAACTTTGAAACCAGGTACAACACACCAAAATATCCACTATATGTTCGGAAATATATTTGACGACACTGGCTTAAGTTTTACCAGGAATTTCTTATCATGATATAGTTTTTATCAACTAAAACAAAAACCCAGGGATATCCCACTATACAACTGAGCAAAATGGGACACAATTAAAACTGTACTTATACAGTTTTATCAAGACCTTCTCAATGACCAAACATCTGATGCAAACGAATTATGGGGAAAATTCAAGGAAAAATTAAACCAACTAATTAGAGACCATGTTCCGCACAAAAGGGCAAAACAGAAAGAAAATAAACCCTGGGTAAAACAAGAGACCAGACAACTCATCAAAAAAAAAAAGACCGCCTGTATAAAAAGATGAAAAGGTCTAAAGACCCAAGACTCTCATCAAGTTACAAAGATCTGAAACGGACAATTCAAAGACAACTCCACCAGTCATACTGGCAATATATTAAAGACATTATACCACCAGATAGCGGAAACCCAAATAATGTCAGCAAAACATTTTGGACATATGTAAAACATCAGAAAACAGAGGGTACCAACACCAGTCAGCTTAAACAAGATGGTAAACTACTAACTGACCCTACTGACAAAGCCAATGCTTTAAACAAACAGTTTCATTCTGGGGGTTTTCTCCCGCAATAAATATAACAAGTAATAAATTTAAACGCACACATTACATTGATAATTTTACCTATCCAAATATTACAGATCTAACCATTTCAAATAACGGCATTGAGAAACTTTTAAGAAATTTGAAACCAGGAAAGGCTGCCGGACCAGACAATATTAAACCCAGGCTTCTCAAGAAATTGGCAAATGAAATAGCACCAATACTTACCTTCATTTTTAATAAGTCTTATCACTCTGGTATTGTTCCATCTGATTGGAAAATCACACATGTAGCCCTCATTTTAAAGAAAGGATAGCGATATACACCAGAAAAGTACTGACCAGTATCCTTAACTTCAGTTTGTTGTAAATTATTTGAACACATCATAGTAAGCCATATTATGACACATTCGGACACACATAATATTCTCTTCCCCCTGCAACATGGTTTTCGAAAATTCAGGTCTTGCGAAACACCATTATTTGAATTTATAGAGGATATAACACTTATAGGCTGGGAAACAAACTGACGTACTTATATTAGATTTTTATAAGGCTTTTGATAAAGTCTCCCATTCACTTTTTCTACACAAACTCGATCACTGCTGAATACGTGGGAGAACAAATGGGTAAAATATTTTCTTCTGGGTAGAAAACAGGCTGTACTTTGTGAAGGAGAAATTTCGTCATATATGCCTGTTGAGTCTGGAGTCCCCCAGGGGTCAGTTTTAGGTCCAAATCTCTTCCTTCACTACATAAGCGACCTGGCTACAGGACACCAATCAACAGTACGTCTTTTTTGCGGACTATACAATAGTATACCTGACTATATCATCTGATCAGGATGCTATGTGTCTACAATCAGACTGTGATAAATTTGTCGATTGGGAAAAAATTGGCACATGTCTTTCCATCCGGACAAATGTAACGTCTTATCTGTTACGAGAAACAGAACCCCTAAAATGTATGACTACAAACTTCACGGACACACGCTTGAACATGTAACTGCAGCTAAATATTTGGGTATCACATTAACTTCTGATCTCCGCTGGGAAAAACACATTTCAAATATATGCAACAAAGCCAATAACACACTCAGCTTCCTCCGCCGTAACTTAAAAATTAGTTCAAAAAGCATTAAGGAACAAGCATACAAATCTTTAGTTAGGCCATTTGTTGAGTATGCTTGTACAGTGTGTGACCCTTATTTAGAACAGGATACAAGCAAAATTGTAATGGTCTAACGTAGAGGAGCGAGATTCACATTAAACCGTCATGGTAACAGGTTCAGTGTAGGGAGATGTGAGAAAATTTGAATTGGACACAATTAGAAACTAGACGAAAAAATGCACCTCTCACGATGATATCATTGTACCCGGATCACCCCACCCCACCCACCCCTCCCAAAAAAAGGAGAAGCGTATTTTACCAGTATTATGTGATTGTGTTTACCGTG